GAGGGAATACTTGCTACGGATTGCTCTGATTGTTATGACTACGATTTAGATTCCTTGTTTTGGATGGTATGAATTTGATGGGTAGTTTATAATTTCAGGAAGGGAGGGTGGTTGCAAAGAAGAAAACCTTTGTACCACCACCAAGATTCTTTAATATTGATGAAGCCAGGTGTTCTCCTCCTCCTCTGTCATCAATTATTTTATGTTTTTGTCATTGTTTGCTAACTTTCACACAAATAGGGAAATGCACATACGCGTGGAGCGGAGGCGGGATAAAGACTCTGGGGAATACTTTGAGATGGTTGATGGCTTGATGTTCAAAGATGGTTTCCTGTATAAACCGGTCTCAATAAAATCAATCCACACACAGGGCATTCAGCCATCATTCGATGAATTGGAGAAGTTCAAGAAACCTGGCGATGACATGAATGGGGACATGTCTAGCTTGAATACTCTGTTTTCTAATAGGAAAAAGGGACACTTTATGAAGGGTGATGCTGTCATTGTTGTTAAAGGCGATCTAAAAAACTTAGAGGGTTGGGTTGAGAAAGTAGAGGACACAACTGTCCACATCAGGCCAAAAATATCCGATCTTCCGGTAATTATTTGCACTTGTAGCTATCATTAACATTAGCTGTTTGATCTGGTGAATTATGCATCTCTTTGTAACTGCAGAAAACATTAGCCTTCAACGAGAAAGAACTTTGCAAATATTTCAAACCTGGAGATCATGTGAAAGTGGTATCGGGTGTCCAAGAGGGTACCACCGGCATGGTTGTTAAAGTTGATGGGCATGTCTTAATCATTTTATCAGACACAACTAAAGAACACGTGAGCAATTTTTGTCCAATTTAATAGTTATTATGTTTGGAGACGACTCAGTCTAATCTGTACTAAATAATTTACTTCTTAACTGTGTTCTCATCTTTTCATGATGATCACAGATACGTGTGTTTGCCGACCATGTTGTGGAGAGTTCTGAAATCACCACAGGAATTACAAGAATCGGTGATTATGAACTACATGATCTTGTTCTTTTAGAGTAAGTTGTCTTTCCAGTGTACCATAAGGTTAGCTCATTTGTGCAAGTGCTTACCTTAATTTCCAATATTTTCAGCAACTTGTCATTTGGGGTTATTATAAGAGTGGAAACTGAAGCATTCCAGGCAAGTTTGTTTCTCAGGATCTTTAATGGATGTTCAAGTCCACAAAATATTTACGACACTTATGTTTAGGTTCTGAAAGGAGTGCCAGATAGACCTGAAGTGGTGCTTGTAAAATTAAGAGAAATAAAAAGCAAGATTGATCGGCGTACATCAGCGAAAGATAAGTTTAATAATATGGTTGCAACTAAGGATGTTGTCAGAGTTGTCGAGGGAGCATGTAAGGTGTGTATCCTTTCACATTTATTATTATATTTGAGCAGCACTTTATTATGTAATCCCAGTACAGTTACATTCATTTTTTGCCTCTTGAACTAGGGAACACAAGGACCTGTGGAACACATACATAAGGGGATATTGTTCATATATGATAGGCACCACCTTGAACATGCAGGCTTCATTTGTGCAAAAGCACAATCGTGCATTCTTGTCGGTGGATCGACTGGTGGCCGTCGTGGAAATGTTTGTGCTGGAGTATTAGTACTCTTGGTAAATAAAATCTGATTATGTTTTTGTGGATTAACTTGCCATTTGTTTTGTGCATGCAGGGTATGGATGCTGCAGATGCTAGGATGGGTGCTTTGAGATCCCCGGCAAGCATTTTGCAGTCTCCAGGAAGGCTGCCCCCAAGAGGACCACAAATGAACTGTATGAAACTTCTGTGCCTCATTTTGTGAATGTGAAAAATATGTGTTCTGCTTCAGTGTTGATTCTCAGCCAGCTCCGTTAATTGGGCAAACACGGTAGCTTTGTTAACTGAAGCTGATGTAGTAATATGGCCTTGTCATTCAATGCAGATGGTGGAAGATTTGGAGGAGGTGGTCGTGGTGGAAGAGGACATGATGCCTTGGTTGGCAAGTGTATCAAAATTAAATCTGGTCCTTACAAAGGGTACCGTGGCCGCGTTAAAGAGGTGACTGGGGTGCTTGTGCGTGTGGAGCTTGATTCGTTAATGAAGATTGTCACAGGCGAGTAATCATATTTTATTGCATTCTTTGATTTCTCATGTGCTTGTTGCTAATATGGTACCAAAATACAGTTAAGAGGGATGATATTGCCGACACACCTACTGTTGCAACACCATTCCGGTAATTCTCTCTCTCTCTCTCTCCCTCTCTCCGTTGCATTTTGGGCATTTGTTCAATTACTAACAGGACATCACCAGTGAACCCCGATTTTCGTTGGGTAGTGAAACACCAATGCACCCGTCTAGGACGCCACTACATCCTTTTCAGACTCCAATGCGGGACCCTGGAGGTATGATTGCCTTCTGCCCTCATGTTTCGGCCATTCAACCATCGCATGTCAAATAATATTATCACCATGATCCATTGTGCTCACGTTCCCAGCTGTTTCATTTCAACTTACAGTGTTGATATGAACTGTTGTTGAAAGGATACTATCTGATTGTTACCTTTTGTTGTTGTTTATTTTGATACTCTATAACCTCAGCAGTGCTCAGTCACATTCTAATCTTAACTATGCGATCAAACGTTTCAACCTACTATGCGATCAAATGTTTCAACCTAAGTAGGCTTCTGATAAGGTCATGAGAAAGTTGACGTTATTTGCGCCCTTTCAACAAATGCTGGTTGAATATAAAACCAACGCATCAGTATTTGCGCTATTCATTCATAGTCGTACTTGTCATTTATTTTCTATGCTTATGTATTAACAATATCCTTCATTTTTTTACAGCAACACCGATACATGATGGAATGCGGACCCCGATGCGTAGTAGGGCCTGGGCTCCTATGAGTCCTCCAAGGTTGTGCAGCCTTTATATAGATATACTCCCTCCGTACCAAAATATAAGACATTTTTGCAGTTCAATTTGAACTGCAAAAACAATTGAACTGCAAAAACGTCTTATATTTTGGTACAGAGGTACTCCCTCCGTCCCAAAGTAAGTGACTCAACTTTGTAGTAGCTTTAGTACAAAGTTGAGTCACTTATTTTGGGACGGAGGGAGTAGTATATTTCTGATCCATGAAGATAGATCTCTTGTCACTAGGGTGTATTATTGTGTTTGTGTTTATGTGTTGATGTTCATGACTTTGTTGGTAATTTGCCAGAGATAATTGGGAAGATGGAAATCCTGATACTTGGGGAAGCAGTCCAGCTTACCAGGTTAGTACAACTTTAGTACTAACTGGGAAGATGGAAATCCTGATACTTGATGACTTGTTTATTTGTTCCTATTACCTTCTATATCTGATCCCACATTTTTATTCTTGTTAATTTTCAGCCAGGAACACCACCAGCTCGGCCATATGAAGCCCCAACACCTGGATCAGGGTGGGCAAATACTCCAGGAGTTAGTTATAATGACGTCCCAACTCCTAGAGAGGGCAACTATGGTAATGAAATTTGTGCAAGTATCTACTTTGTGTTACTTAATGTGATATGCCATTACTGTGAAAGACGTATTTATTTTGTTCTAATTGTTTCTGTTCTCTTAGCGAATGCTCCAAGCCCATATGTGCCTTCCACACCTGTTGGCCAGCCAATGACACCAAATTCTGCTGCGTACCTTCCTGGTACACCTGGTGGTCAACCGATGACTCCAGGCAATGCTGGAATGGATATAATGTCTCCTGTAATAGGTGTGTGTTCTCAGCATTATTTGTAGAATTGTTTTATTAAAGTGCCATCAGAATCACCAAAATAGGCAAAGCAGCCCAGATAACTCATCTAATTATATGCCCAAATCGTTGCAGGTGGCGAGGGCGAAGTTAACTGGGCATTGCCAGATGTGTTAGTTAATGTCTTGGCCGCAGGTGATGAAGGACCTGGTGTGGTCAGGGAAGTGCTTGGGGTATGTGTCGTGGAGAGCATCGTTGGCTTCCAAGATGTCCATGTGAAGTGTTTTGCGTCCTAAGCTGACCCTGAACGTTTGAACTTGCAGGATGGAACTTGCCGTGTGGCACTTGGGTCGTCAGGCAACGGAGACATTGTGACGGTCCTTCCGACTGAGCTCGAGGTCATCAGACCAAAGAAGAGTGACAGGATCAAGATCATGAATGGTACCTTCCGCGGATTTGTTGGAAAACTTATAGGAATAGACGGTTCTGATGGCATTGTGAAGCTCGACGACACCTATGAGGTCAAGATCTTAGATATGGTGATTTTGGCCAAACTGGCGGCTTGAGCTGGATGTATATTTGTAACCTGTCCCTCATATAGCCTTTGTTGTAACAAGTGTCGTTGTTTTCTCAATAAAACATATGTTATTTTTGTTTCATTACTTGTATCCCAGATTTTGACATCAATAGAAAAGAAAAAAAACCCATAAGGGAAATGTTTGTCCGCAGCCATTGTTATTTCCATTATTCTCTTCTATGGATTTGGTGGTGTCTGTTGTCTTCAGTCTAAGTGTTCTTGTTGGGGTTTCCTTTGTAATTAGGTGGGTTCATGGTTGTGGAGGTCATAGGGTTTTATGCTTTGTATGTGAACTATTTGTGCGTCATGTTTTTTGTTAATTAATTGGGTAATTCTTTTCTGCTTAATCAATCAATTGGTGAGGCAATTCTTTTGCCTCTGTTTCAAAAATAAAAATTAAATCATTCTCTTGTATCAGCTCTTGAAGTGTCCAAATGAGTAAGAAGAGATGTATAGATTGGCCAAGTAGCATCCCAAAATCAGACTCGATGATAATGGCGCACTGTATTTGTGAGGTTCGTATCCCATTTGTACAAAAACTGCTATCTCCTGGAGCTTACACCGGAGCAAAGTCGTAAAGAACAGATCGATGTATTATTGTACGTACGCAAGGAAAGGAAAAACTGCAGCCGGGACATCACGGCCTGTACTGTGGTTGTGCTCCTCCCGGCCTCCTCAGGCAACGTCTTGGTTGCACTGCTGGAACACCTGGAGGAGGTTGCTGTACGGGCACGGGCTCCTGGATGACGGCGACCCGGCGACGGCGCGCTGGCGCTTGCTGCTGGACGGCCGCGAGTCCGGGCTGGGCGTCGGCCCCGGCTCGGCCTCCCCGAGCAGCTCCTCCGCGTCCTTCTCCTTCCGAAGGGTCTCCAGGAACGACTTCTTCACCACCCCGTCGATCTGATACGACCAAACATCACCGACAGAGAGAGAGAGAGAAAGGTAGGACATCAATTCCGTTTCCGATTTTCCAAGTTCCATCCAAACCACAACGAACGCAGATGGGCGCTCACCGTGAGAGGGCAGAAGTCCGGCATGGGCCAGCAGACGGGGCCGGCGTCGTCGGGGGGCTCCGGCATGGGCTCCACGGGCTCCATCTCCACCTCGTCGCCGTCGACGCTCCCGGCGACATCCTCGTCGTCATCCGCCGCCGCCGCGGCCACCGCCTGCTCCTCGACCTTATCCTACACGCCCGGCGCACCGCAGAGAGTCAAAATCAAAGTCAACGGAAATCGGGCGAAGAGAAGCGGAAAACCAAGGAAGGAAACCCAATCGCGCGGAGGAGGCGGGGGAGATGGAAAGAGGCGGAGATGGGGGAGGAGATCTCGAGTTCCAAGTACCATGAAGCGCGCGGCGATCTCGACCATTCCCCTTCTGCTCTCTCCCCGCACGCGCTCCCTCCTCTGTCCCGAAGATCTTTTTCGGATCCTTCCTTCCTCTGCGGCGGTGGATTTGGAACGGGGGGCGGGCCTTTTCGGGGGTGGTTCGCTTCCTTTTCCGTGGTGGTTTGAAACCGGGAGCGCGTAATAGGGTGCTTGTTTATGGGTCGAGAGATTCGGGGGAAAAGGCAACGGCTACTTTTTGTGCGCGCTGGCTGTGCCGTGCGCCCGTGCCTAGTTCGCTTGCGGGTTTACCGAGGTAGATCGGATTTGGGGGACGGAAAGGCGCGCGGTGGAGCCTTCTGATGAGATCGTGTCCCCGGTGGCTGGTCGGTGGGCCTAATAACAACACGATCAACTCCTTTCAAAGAGAGAGACACACACACCAGCAACAATTTATTTAGGCGGAATTGGTTGCGGCACTACTGGACCAGCAACCTTGCATCCGGCAGGAATCAAACCTACTCTTTGACCTTGGATGGGTACCATTATGAAAATGAAAATTACAATCCAAGAGGTGGCAGAAGCACCGGTTCACGACAGGGCTTGATGGTACATGGGCCACTTCATTTTCAACTTCCAAAAGGGACCTAAAGCGAATTAAATTATGATTTGTGTTGTTTGGGCTTGGAGTGGTTGGTCATCAGTTTAGTTGTGCAGTCTGAAAAACAGTGTAAATCCGTAGGATTATTTATTGCAGGCGAATGTGTGACAAATGATCAACTGCAATGCAAAGTCTTTAAATACAGAGGAAACCTGGCAACTTATGCCCGTCTAGAAAAGATATCCACTGACATCATGTTGGTGATGATCTATGGGGCCTCAAAACATTTCCCGGTACCTCTCTCATTTATTCATGAGATTTGGGTCGAGTGGTGATTTGTGTAAATCTCCCATTTAGTTGGAATAGGGCTGCCAATTTGCCTCTTGGTTTTCACTGCGAGGCCATGTGGTTGGTAATCCACATTTGCGAGGGCGTACAGCAAGTTGTCCGAATAACACATAGGGAGACGCACACTGGCTTGCCATTTTGCACAGATTTTTATTTCTGCCTTTTCTGTTTCATGTTTTTTGGTTTTTGACTTGGTTTTGTTTGGTTCTTACCTTTCAATTTTTTCGGATTTCTTGTTTTTCTTTTTTCCTTTTCCCTTTTACTTATATCCTTTTACCTTTTGTATTTCTTCTTTTAAAATTATACACTTTTTGTAAACACAAGTTTTTTTTTCGAAAATGGACATTATTTCAAAAAGACATAGACACTTGTTTAATTGCATGGAACTAGTGTAAATACATATATTTTTTAAAATATTACATGAATACTTATTTAAAAGGAGTGAATTCCTATAAATTACGCAAAAAAAAATTCAATACATGAACACTTTTTAAATTGTACATGATTTTTATAAACCCGTTCACACTTTTTAAAATTATACAAACATTTTTTACATACGTGATCACTTTTTTCAGTTTACATATTTAAATGGATGAACACTTCTAATTGCACATGAAGAGTTTTGCATGTACATGAATGCTTTTTAATTACGATGATTCTTTTTTCAAATAAATGATTCACATATTTCAAAGTATTTTTTATGTCTTTCAGATTTAATGTTCTTCTAAAATTATCACTAAGGTCATATTTTTGGAAATTATAAGATTTATAAAATATTTATGGTTTAATAAATATACTTTTAAAATAATAAATACAATTAAAAGTGTGATCATTTCGGCCGCGTAAGTGAGCCAACCCAATTAAGGGCGACATGTGACGCTCTTTGCGACGCACAGTGGCAGCATGAACTGGGCTGTCCATTGGCGGTATTCAGCGCGCTGTTCATTGTAGCCCGGTTTGCCACAGCACACACTGTTTGCTGTAGCACGAGTTAATGCAGTGCGTGGCTACTGTAGCGCGGTTAGCGACAGCGCATGCGTCTTAATGTAGCATGGATGTTGCAGCATGTGGTACTGTAGCAGCGCCTCATGAAAATGTGTCCAATTTTTGAAACCTGAACAATTTTGAAAAAATAACTATTTTTCAATTTTATTCGATTATTTCTGGAAAACAGACATTTGTAAAATATTTTGAACATTTGTTTTGAGAAGACAAACACATTTTGGAAACAATATCATTTTTTTGAAAAATTGATTTTTTTAAGACACGATTTTTTTTTTGAAATTCTCCGCTATTACTCAACCATATGAAAACAAATCATTGACCAGCCGATTTTCACACAAAATCATGAGGCCGAGCCAAAAACGAGTAGTAGATAGGACGGGAGTGAGCCAGAAGTTTGGCAGTGGGCACCGGCGAAAATTCCTAAAGCGCCTATATATATATGCTGCAGTGTCAAGTCCACTTGTCTCGTGATCAGACGATCCTCTCTCTTGAGTTGTGTGCATGGAATCATGATTCTAGCCACTTCTTCAACTTCTTTGCCTCCTTTTTCCATGACTATATAATATCTGCAACAATTGACCTTCTTCAATGCAAGGATTTTTTTGATTACATGCATTAACATTTTATTAGTCAAATATGTGGTTAAACTTTGACCAGAAATACGATGGACTAATAAACCCAACCGGACGTAGTAGGATATGCGAATGTTTTTTGAAAACACGAACAATTTTTGATTATTTTGAAAACAAAAATATTTTTCTGAATTTACAGAGATTTTAAAATTTTGAATGTTGCTTGAAAACACATTTTTTCTTTTCAAAATTTCAACCATTTATTGAAAACATGAAACTTTTCTTGAAATTCAAAAACATAAAAAATAAACCAAAACCCCAGGAAAACCAATAAGAAGTAAACATAAAGTAAGAAACCATTTCAGGAATCGTCCATAAGATTCCCAAAACTGGTATGGGAATGCCTCTGTCTACTGCTAAATGGGCCAGCACACTTGCTCTCGCTGGTTTGGTTGCCTGTGCGACTGGTAAATACGGATTGCGACTGCTATATGAGGGCTGCTCCTATTGGGCGTGTGAGGCACTGGCAAAAATGATGAATATTTTTTAATTGTATGATTTTTTAATATCTAACTAACAAAATTTGAATTCAGTGAACACTTGTTGAATGATGAAATTTTATATTGATGAACATTTTTGTGAATTTGATGAAAAAAAAATGTTCGTGAATTTGAAAAGAAAATTTGCAAAAAAGTTAAAAGGTAAAGAAAAAAAAAATAGAAAATATAAAAAAACAGGAAATAAAAATAAAAAGGAAAAGAAAAAACGAAAAAAGAAAAAAAGGAAAAAAAGAAAGAAAGAGAAACGGGAAATGGGCTGGCCCATACGTACACCCGCGCGTGAGAGGGGGGGTGGGTAGCATGCATTATGTCGCTTGCCAGCGACCTACACGCCATATAGGAGCCACCCTATATGAGAGCCCCCTTGACTCTTTGTGCGTCAAAATGGTGGTCGAACGCACAATGCCGCTCCTCAGGGGCTGGCCCAACCGAGAGAGTTGCATTGTGCGCCTTACCAAGCGACACCTTCGGCCTTTCAACGATGTTTTTCTTTGGTTTTCTGGTTTTTAGCCGGTTTTCATTAGTTTTTCGAGATTCTTAAAAAAATGTATGTTTGAAAAATATTCAAACATTAAAATATGTGTTCAGCTTTTGAAAAATGTTCGTGAATTTATTTATTTTTTTGTAGATTTTAAAAATGCTCCAGAAACTTTAAAAATACTGTCCAAAATGTTTGCCTATTTTGGAAATATTCTCGAATTTAGGAATCCTTCTTTCCATTTTTAGATGTGTTATTTCACCTGAAATTGAACCTGTTTGCTACCTTGGAAAATCTTTCTTCTTACCTACTTGTTGACCTTAGGATAGGATATGCATATTACTGGAAAGCTAGCTAATTGGCTAGCACACTAGCAAAATAGTTAGGGTTGGCTAGAACAGAACCCCCAAGAAACAAGGACTGGCCTCCACCCAGTCACGCGCCTAAAGCATCCAAGTTCAGATAGCCGCACACGCACCAGGGGCTAGCTCATAGTCCCATTGTCAAACTCCTATAGCTAAGTGAGAGTGATAAATCCGCATAGTCTGATTACCTGGTTCGCTGCATAGCCACCTCCTTTACGGACCAAGACGTTGGGTCAAGTGTGGTCACGTGCTATTCCGAACACCCCCTTAGTATCTACGTGGGTGCTGAAGCCGACGACCGGCAAACTTTCAGAAATAAAAACGACTGTAAAGGAGGAAAACAATTTCAGATAAAGGCACAAATATATTACAAAAGCCTTGGTTCATAAAACAAATTCTGGACAGCCGGGATACATTCATTCAAACATGATATCCTTCGAGCATTGACCCTCTATTAAACGGGAACCCTCTAGACATCTTCGAAATATCGCTCCGGCTTGCGGTGGTCCTTGCCTTCGGGTGGGCCCTCTAGTGCCACGACGGCGACCTTCATCTTCGCCCAGTGCATCTCGACACGGGTAAAGGCCATCTGCGCACCCTCTATGCACACCGAGCGCTTTACAGTTTCAACTCGGGGCAAGGCGTCGCCGAGCCTCTTGACGAGGCCGAAGTAGCTACCAGGAATGGGTCCGGCTGGCCATAGCCGAACTATGATGTCCTTCATGGCCAAACCGGACATCCTATGCAGCTCCGCCAGCTGCATCATCTGGTTGTTCAGCAGCGCTGGCTGCTCCGGCGCCATGTACTGCGACCAGAAGAGCTTCTCCGTCGTGTTCCCTTCTTGGGCCCGGAAATACTGTGCGGCGTCGGCAGCACTCCTCGGAAGGTCCGCAAAGGCGTCTGGAGAACTCCATAGTCGATTAAGCAAAGCATATCTCCGACCGCCAAATATACTCTGTAAAAGAAAGGGCTTACCAGCCGCTATCTGTTCGGCCTGCTTGATCTCCCCGCGAGCCGCTCGGGACTCGGTCCGCGCCTCCTTGGCCTCCTGAAGAGCCTTGGTGAGACTGACTGCTTGGGCCTTATTCTTCTCCTCCAAGGCCTCACACTTGCTGG